ATAAAATGCTTGTTTTGCTGCTTTGCCATTTATCTATGCAAGATGAAGAGTAGAGTATAATCTCCCTGCTTGAAAGCCCACAATAGCATTTTGGGATGCCAAAGAAGGCTATTTATTGTTGGATTATTCAACAAAGTGTGCCCTCTGGGATTACCCTTTGTGATTGGGAAAGAAAGAATTTTGTTTCATTTCTTCATTTGGAAAATTTTTTTGCTTGACTAGCAACAAGGCTCCTGGGTCACTAAGCAATAGTGTTCTGCCCTAATTGCCTTTAACATATTTATGTTTCTAAGTTAGGCCTTTGGTAGTTGTTTTTCCAAATTATATAAGGTCGATATCCCACTGCCCTGGAGAACAGAACAGTTTATAGAATGTTTATATATAAAAATTGCTTTTGAAAATTTTACTTCATGTAGCAACCTTAAGGTTTTTCTCAAAGGAGGAGGAATCAACACCAAAATACACTATTTTTTTTTTCCTTAATCTTGTCTGACTCCCCTCCTCACAAGCATATTTGTTCTCCTTTTACATTAACTAAGAATATAGTCAAGTGGAAATTTGAGAAAATATCATCTCAAGCTCCCAATTCTGCCTACACCACAGACAAAAATAAATGTGTAACTAGAATGTGATGTATAATACATGCAGTCCAGACAGCAGAAACATAGCTACGTTTCTCCAAATCTGTGAGAAGGAGTAGAAGAAAGAAACCCAAATGACTCTTTGTTGACTCAGTGTCACTGAGTACATGATGCTCATTTAGGCAAAGGCATGTTTGGTGGTAATATCATCTCCTGGTGTTGTGAGTGCTACTGGCATTAACAATTTCTGCTGAGTGATTTATCAGTGAGCAGTCCTGCATCAGAGGGGTTGTTCAGCATCATGCAATAAGCACTGAGGCTGCCTCCTAAACTAATTTATGTGTTTTTTCAAATAGTAAATTGTTTAGGAGGAGGAAGAGAGCAGCATTTTTTACTCACGTATCATTTTCAACCTTTTTTTTTAATTTTATCCTGTTTTAAGGTCACTGCCTTTACACTGTAAGACAATAGATTTTTTTGCTAGATACTTCCTAGCTCTAGATTTCTTTTGAACTACCCTCCTGAATGACACTTAATGTACTGTTCTCCCACTCTTATCTTCACACTTTCTTATATGCTGTTCCTTATGCTTAGAAATCCTTACTCTCCATGCCAAATATCCACCCACTCCATGTTCACATTCTTCCTTTAAACTGCATTTCCTTAAAGTCTATCAAAAATAATCTTCAAGTTAAGAAACATATCAACTCTGCCCTGAGATCTGGCAGTCTGCTGATCATCAGATTTCCTACTGCTGGCTGAATTCTTTAATTTGTGCATAATACTCCATAAATCAGGGATTCATTTTTCCTTAATATCACATGTACTGCCTATTTTATTAAATATATGTATATATATAATCTTTTTTAAAGTACCCCAAAGTTCAGCCCAGCTGGTTTCCTAGAGGCCATCTGGCTGAGCACTGCTGCTTATTAATTTGCTGTTCGCAAATTAACAGAACTTATGGAAACAGCTACCTACAAATTGTAGAGTGGTAGGGAGTTTTCACTTTGGGAGGGTGTTTATGTTGGTTTTGGGTTTGTTTGGGGTTTTTTTTCTGGGGGCAGGTTGTTTTTTGACACAAAACAAGGGAAGAATTGTTGAAATTATAAAAACATATTTAGAGTACAAGTTGAAAGTTAGAATGCATGAGGCACATCTAAAACCTTCTGGATGGTAAGATCTGATAGGCAGCTCTGACTATTTCATGACCTAGCCTGACATGCTTGTGCACTTTGGTCTTCCTGTGTATCAAAGGTTTGTTATGTGGCTTTGGAAGACAATTTCCTGGGGGGTAAAGGATCTACCACAACTAACTGGTTCACTGTTGGAGAGCTTCCTCTGAGGATTTGAGCATAAAACTTTAGTAAGCTCAGTGAAATATGTAGGTGACTTCCACTGTTATGTTTTGAAAGATTGAATATTTGGCTTCATAGTCACTTCAGTTTCTTCTACTTTCTTTAGAGGCTTTTTTTTGCTTTTTGCTATGAAACATGCACAAGTACTTGGAAAGCAATAAAAAACCAAAACCAGGCCATACAGATAACAAGAAAAGGGAAAGGAGAGAGATACATGCATGGTTTTCTCTTTGGCCATAAAAGTTTTTTACTCTGGAGAGCATGTCTTAAATTAACCTGACTGTAGTTTGTGCTGAATGCAAGCCATTGAATGAGGGGGAACAGATGGGCAAAACCTTTCAGGTGCGGAATCCAGGAGGAAGTGCCACCTCCTTTTGGTTCTTTGGCACAATTATCCTGTTGTCTCCAGCACGGAATGTGGAACGTGGGGAGTGCCACGTTCTGGGAATGGTATGACTGGGGAGAAGCCTCTGCTCCAAGAACCTGGCAGATCTATTGTTTTCCATAGCTCCCTTTGGCTGTCCTTCACATATGAGAGCTGGGTCCAGTATCTTAGGTATAGACTTAACCAGGTAAAATTACCTTATCAAAGTTCTGTCTTAATATGATTTATTCAAAGAAAAGCCCCAAAATGAACAAACACTACGAGTGAACCAGAACATTTTTTTTGTGAACTTGTATGCAATTCTTAAAACCATTTGCTTTCACAGGAGGTAATGCTACTTATAACCTCATTTCCCTACATTCTTTTTAGTTCTAAATAAAAACCAAAAACTGAAGATAAAACATTTGCGTCCAAAGCAGAGTAATTTATAAAAGTTTGATTTGTTCAATGTTAACTCCTGCTTGCCCCTAAACAAAATAGTGGAATAGAGAAACTTTCAAGCTGCCTAAAATATATTTACCTTAAAAGAAAAGCCTTTTTTTTTAATCTGGATCTACAAGTCTATAAAGCTAGTGAAATACTGTTCCTTAGTGTTTCTAAAATATGTGCATTCTTCATCTGTTTGCTGATTGTCTGCAGCATGAAATTCGGCCTAGAAATCATGAGAAAAAAGAAAGGTTGTAAGCCACTCCTCTGGATGCTTTGCAGCAAGAGAAGTAAATCTGAACACTGCCTGCTAACAAAACCAAAATTGTAAAAACATTGCTAAAACAAATGAAGCTGGCAGGTAGCATTTTCCAAAAAAAAAGTACTATTTTCAAATACAGTTATGATCTTTTAGTAAGTCTTAAATTTCCATTTAGCTGTGTTAAAATGATTGTCTGTGACTGAAATCAGGTCCAATTCCTTTTTCTTTAATGCATCGGGAAAAGCCTAAAGTTGGGACCAGAATGGATCCTATTGGAGTTAAGTACGTAACTCCCAGAAAACGTTTTCCATTAAACTCCGTTGGGGTTAGTTATCAGATTTCTTTAAACTCTGATATAAAATTTTTAGTGCATAACCAAACCAAATGCCTTGTTTTAGGAGTTGATCTTGTTGGTAATGGACCAGCATGACCTTTCACCCCCAAACCTTTTGTTTTTTTTTTTCAGTCTCAACAGAGTGTCATAACTAGCCATTGCTGGAGATATTCTCCTGAGTGCTCCCAATCGGATCAGGCTGGACATGCATCAAAACAACATTTTACTCTCTGCCTGACCTAACTTTTCCTTTCTCTCATTCAAGCACATTATTGAAAACCATCAAGTTTTATGTGTTCCTGACCTATGAGGAAAACAGGAAGCAGACAAGGAGATTCTTTCCTGTCATGGTGCTCTGTAAATCAAGTCCTGCATGTGTAGCTTGTAGTCCCAAGGAAGTCTGTACGCACTGAGTCTGAGAGATGTTTTTTAGAAGCTGTATTTTCCTTAAGCTTTTGTTAGTTTCTTCCTTTAAAATACCTTTGTGACAGAATTATGCACATTTATCCCTTGTCTCTGAGGCTGCAACCTGGAAGTGTTCTTCTGTCAGGAAGTATTATTTAAGTTGCTCAGGAATTAACCTCTGTGCTCAGGAATTCATCTCTGTAGTTCTCAGAATGAAAACAGATGCTTTGAATTCACATAGTGGCTACATACACTTTGCATGCCCCAGAGGAATTGTTCTGTATCTCATAAACAGAAACACCACTTTATCTTCCAGATTTTACCTTGTACGGTTGTCTAGCCATGGGCAGAACTCAGAACAGTGAGGTTATCACAGAGAGGCCTTATATTAGTCCTGGGGGCTATGACTGTGTGTTTTGCTAAACTGGCTGGAGCAGGATCTTAATATCTTGCAAACCTAAGTATTTAACATGAAAAAACACTCTTTTGTCATAAAAATGAGATGTAGTAGGAGACAGTCAGTGTTTTCCTGTGCTGCAGACAATAAAGAAAGTGTCTTCCAACTTCCATGTAGTATCTTTTGACTCATGTACATGAGTCAGCTTTAGTTGTGGGTTTGGTTTTTTCCCTTTTTCAGTAAATATTTCTATTACACAAAAATTTTGAAGTCCTAAGGCAAAATATTAAAGTATTTCTATTAAGATACCCTGGATCTGGTTTTATGTGTTTTGTTTGTTTGGTTTGGTTGTGTTGTTGGGGTTTGTTTAATTTTTTGAGATAGCTGATGCATGCTAATAAACTTTGTGTCTCCTAAACTATAATCATGCTTTGTCTTTGAAAACTTAATCTATGGTAAAAACATGAGAAAATCACCCCGTTTTGCTCACACTTGGTTTGAAGACAGGAAGTTTAGTGGTTTTTAAGTACTTCAAAGCTGCAAAACCTAATTCAAAATGTTGCACAAATTCCATATGCTTTTACAGCTATACAAAAAGGGGTGCAAACAGATCCCTTTATAATATGTTAATGTTTTACAACCACTTTGCAGCACAGCAAAGGAAAAAGTTACAAAAAGCAGCTGAGGGTTGGTGCAGCTCAGCTGTGTTCATGAGCACGCAGCTCCCGTTGTTGACAAATGAGAGTTGCTTGACTTGACCACAGGCAGCATGAGGTCAAGATATATTAATAAAATGCTTTCTTAAGTGTTTATTTCTGCTCTTTTTTGTATATCCTTGTTGTGACGTGACAGAGCATTCGAGGTCAAGTGCCAAGCTATCAGTGGGGATGGAGTAAAGCACCTTTATCTGAGCGTTCGCTAACACGGGACTCGGCCGTGACTCAGAGAGGGTAAGTTAACTGATTATGCTTAACTTTCTCTACTATGGTAAAATGAGTTGCAGAGAGAACACACTGAAAGCCAAGGGCCTCTAAATACTTTTCCCTTTTATGGAATAGAGCTCCCAGATTTCCATTTCCTGGAGATTGTACTCTAAGCCTACACAGTGGTAAAAGAAAGTTCTCTGCATTCACTGATCTATATCTGACTACAAATTTGAGCTCAGGGGATCATTTTTTTCCTGACTATTTTAAGCAGTAAGTTTATAATAACAGACCAAAATGTTAAAAAGCACTCCATCCTCTCTTTTCTTTCTTTTTCTTACTTTTTTTTTTCTTTAGATTGTCTCCTCCTAGTGTGGGAATAAGCAGAATCTGGTAACTAGGGTAGGTCATTTGTTTGTGTTTTTTAATTCATTTTGTAGGTGCAAAAGGCTCATGCAGACTGAGATTGTAGATCTTCACCCACATCCACTCTGCCTGTGACATGTGAGTTAATCTCTACCAGTATTTAATTTTAAAAGGTAATTTTGGAGCTCTTGCAATTTTAAAAAGAATGAAGGTTTGGGGGAGATCATTTACCCTGATAAAATACTACTACAGTAATGTCCTGACATCCTTTCATAGGATATAGGCCAGAGTTTGATCAATGCCTAACAAAAGAAACAACAGAATCTTGAAATTGTCTCAGTGCCTGGGATGCTAACATGTGCTTATGCACCTTGACTGTTTTTAAAATGCAGGTGTATTTTTTTATCTCTCCTTTCAGTGTCTTCAGGGACAATAATGACAGTTGCTTCAGTTGGCACCTCACTGCACTGCATGTATTGTTAACATATCATTTCCTCCTTTGACTGAAACCTGTTCATTCTTGTGGAAAGGAGATAAAGCTGGCAAAGCTGATGGTAGCATGATTCCAAAGGCTGTTCAGCTGGCAGATGAGCCAGGCTTAGAACCAGGATAGTGATGCTCTCTGCACTGTGACTCAATGTTCAGGGAAGCTGTGAGCTGGTTTTGTAAATGGAGGTGTGAGTTTCTATAAGCTCCAAGGCTGCTCCAAAGCTCCTCCCTAATGCTCTGCAGCAGAAAAAATGTACCTTCCAGTGAAATACATTTTCCAAGGACATTTCTTTCTTTTCTTTCTACATCTGTGAGACACAGATAATTCTTGTTAGAGTGTTCTCACAAAGACCCCTTTTTCCATACATTTTGACTCTCTGTGACATTTACTGGGGCTGTTTTCATGGCCCAACCAAATGGGCATAAGGTCACTTCAGCAGTGATGGAAGGACATTTATTCACTAATATCTTAAGGTTCCATCATTTCTAAACCTTTGCCTTTCCTACCACTGTCAGAAGGCAGTAATTGATGCAGAAAATGGCAGAACTCTTGGCACAGCATGGAGCAAGGAGGTGTTTCCATTGATTGATTATATCTGTGTGCATTTACAATGTGTGATGTTTGTGCTGGTTAAACATCATAAAGTCTTTAAAGGATCTGGACTACTGATTTTAAGAACACTGCACAAGTTAAAGATAAGCTTTTAGATTGAAAAATTAATAATTCAGGAGCTCTAAATCATATAGTTTATTAATTGAACTACATCTTTATGTTGAAATACCAATATGTAGTGGCCCTCACTTTGGCAGTGTAAAGGACTGCAGCAGTGCAGTCAAGGTGTGCAAAGATGGTGTTTGTTTTAAGAAGCCTAAGAATATGAATAATTATGTGCAAGCTTTCACTGCTCCAATATAGTCCTCAACACTGGGGTTTTCTGGAGAGATATTAGGAAAAAATGGAAAGTCAGAGGAAGAAATTTTCCTACTGATCAGCACAAAGATTTGGAGCTTATTTGCAAGATAGCTCTGTAAGGAAATCAGAGTAAGGTTCTAACTGTGTCAGAGACGGCCTGAGCTCAGTCCACTCCAAATCTGGGGGTTGTTAAGGTGGCGTAAATTCATCTTTCTCCCCTCCGTTCTGCCTTGGCTGTACTTTCTGTGCTGCATCTCTAAGACAACACAGCTCGAGATTTGTCCCTTTCTATTCTTAGACAAGCCTGCTGATTTATTTCTTTTGCTTTCAAAGTTTTCTGGCTTTTTAAATCTAAGAAATGAACTGAAACTTGATGTGCTTAACAGCTCTTTCTTGTTTCAAGATAACTTGCATTACTTCTTTTAAGTTTAGTATGCACTGGGAACTCAGCTAAGACCCGGAATAAACCACTTTGATGCAATAGCTTATACAATTCCATGTAGGACTGCAAACATGCTTTGGCCATGACTCAAAACATTCCTGATTTTTCAGGCCCAGCATTCTGTTGAGTTGAATCTATCAGAACCAGTATAAATTCATAAGGCAAACACTGAAGAAGGATTAGATAAACAGCCAAATCTGTATCTTCTCTTTTTTGTTTTTGTTTGAATTTGAGTTCTTGCAAACTCAGAAATTGCATAGGATGCCAGGATTTTGCTACAGAGGTGAAAAGCAAGTCTGTGCTACTTTTTTTTAGTTACCTTGCTTCCATCTCATCTTCGTGTGTTGTTCATAGTCACCTGGTTGCTGACTGTTGTTTGATACTTAACTGTTGAAACACAGAGATGTTTAATGCTGCTGCTAACTGTCTAATCTCTGAGGGTTTATTAAAATCTATGTAATCGTAAATGTCTATTTTCCATCATATTAGGGATTTTAAAGATGTTTTGCTTTAATAAACATTTTAAAAGCGTTTTATTTGGAGAAAGCTTCCTCTACTCTTATTTGAAGTCAGAGATGGGTAACATCATGGTATAAACATGAACTTCCACTTACTTCAGTAGAGGTAGGAATTCTCCTGTAAGAGGTTCAAAATGTTTACAAAAGCTTGAAACATGCTGTCCCTGAAGCATTTACTGCTCTGAGAAATCTTCATGCTCACTGTTCAAAAACAGTCTGATTCGTAATGATGTTGTATATGCTGCATCTTTTCCACAGTCTTTATCAAAGGACTGCAATGAAATAATTCTTTTCCCTGAACACACCAATGCTTGTGTAGGATCATTCTTATAACCTGTTAGTTCTGCATGAAATTTCATGTGAGGTGGCCTTGTATTCCTCTTCTAGTAAAAGAGAAAATTAAGTTTCCAACATAATGTGAAATAAATGTAATAAAAGCATCAGTCTTATCTGCTTCTGTAGTCCAAAGTTTTCACACATCCTGCAGGTTTTACAACACAGATTTTTTTGCTGTGAGAGCTGAGGTGAGGAACTTGTCACTATTGAGACTGCTTCACTAATTCTTGTGAATGGTTCTGCCTCTTCTTTCTTTTTGCTATTTTTTTTAAAGATCAACAGCTTTATTTTGACAATTTTGATTGTCAGTCTCAATAAACCACCATGTTCCTGAAAACATTTATTTGCCCACCCCTGAAATGGAAGGGAAAACTGTCTAAAGTTAATCTTAGAATTCTGCTAAATGCCTTGAACTTCAGATCATCTCCCCATCTCAACCTCTTTATTCCATCTATCTTGAATTCCAGAAGAGCAAAAGAATTGAGATGACATCAGGAGTTCTGGTTTGGGAGAAGATAACATGCTTGTGGAGGTTGAACTTGTTGCTTTCTGGGTATACTTACCTCCTGGGCAAACTACTGAAGTTGTTATGGTACTGTTTGAGTGTGTTGCTCCGTGCTGTGCTCAGTTGGGAATTTGTAAGGGGGATGCAGTCAGCTGGCCCCGGTGCACATGGAAACTGTGGTAGGGGATGCAGTGCACACAGAAGCTGTGCAGGGGGATGCAGTCAGCTCTTCCCGGTGCACACAGAAGCTGTGCAGGGGATGCAGTCAGCTCTTCCCGGTGCACACAGAGGTTGTGCAGGGGATGCAGTCAGCTGTTCCCGGTGCACACGGAAGCTGTGCACCAGGCGGTCTCTGATGCCCTGCAGGCGCCGCCGGGGAGTGCGGTGATGTGTTGTCGAGGTCAGCGGTGTGTTGGTGAGGACAGTTCCCCAACTCTCGGGCAGGTGTCGCAGTAAGTATTGCAATCCGCCCACTGCGCTGCTGTAAGGAATGATTTGTTCTTCGCGCTGCTCATCCTCAGACCTCGGTACAGGCTCTCTTGTCTTGTGAATGCAGTACCTCCCCTTGACACTAATATGAAGAATTTTCTCAGCTAATAGGCAGAGAATTTTTTTTCCCTATTGTCTTGTGCAGAGGTACCAAGTCTTTGCACAATTGACCTAGGCCTTGCTCTTGCTCAAATGAGGAGTGCCACCATCTGGGGTTCCAGTTTTGCTCCTCTGAGATCACTCTCTGTAGCATGAAGACTTTGTTAGTTGCTAAAAGTCACAGTATAGAAGAGATGACTCAGAGGGAACATCATCAATGTATATAAATATCTGAAGGGGGATTGTCAAGAGGATGGAGCCAGGCTCTGCTTGGTGGTGCCAAACAATAGGACAAGAGGCAACAGGCAGAAACTGATGCACAGGAATTTCCACCTGAACATGAGGAGGAATTTCTTTCCTGTGGGGGTGACCGAGCTCTGGAACAGGTTGCCCAGAGAGGTTGTGGAATCTCCCTCACTGGAGATATTCCAGAACCATCTGGATGCAATCTTGTGCCATGTGCTCTAGGATGACCCTGCTTGAGCAGGGAAGTTGAACCAGATGACCTTCTGTGGTCCCTTCCAACCTGACCCATTCTGTGATTCAGTGATATCCAGGATGCTGTTGACTTCTTACAAGATTTTTAGAGAAGGTAGTTTGGTCACAGTCATAATGACAAAATAAAAATCAGTAAAATGGAGGGAAGAGGTGGAAATAGCGACAAGAATGGAAGGTTGTCTGTTTTGAATGCATTTGCTAGGTTATACTTGACCTTGAAAGCTTTAGTTAATAAAACACAAGATAACATTTTTAATTTTAAACCTTAATGCTGTTTGTTATTGTAAAGTGATCTCAGTGTGAGAGCACAGAGTTTTAAACAGATTTGGTTTGTCTTTTTGGCATCTAACACAGCCTGCAGATCACAAGGCCTCTCAGAGCTTATGCCTTCAGGCTGACTTGAAACACCCATTGCCAGCAGTGCATGGTCCTGTTAGTGCCCAGTGCAGCTCCACGTGCTTCACGCTGCCCACCATGCCAACCTCACCTGAAGACAAGGGACGAGCACAAGAGGCACAGCACAACAGTTCTCCTCCAGCCAAAGTAAGCACTCTTACAAAGGTGTTTTCTGACTCTTGATGGAAACCCGAGGGTGAAACCTCTTTGTGTATATTTAGGAGTTTATAAAACAAAATCTAATCATTGCGCTGAATTAGTGTGTTTTGCTTGGTTGATGAAGCTGTGAATGATCCTTCAGTTGATATTCTTCAAATATTTTATAGCCTAAGGGACGAGAACTCAAGTTGCTCGGGTAGTTGTTTATCATTTTGATCTGGAGGATTATAAATCGTTCAGAACAGACAGACATATATCAAAGCTGTCCAAAGATGTCCTTTCTGATGTGATTACAGAAGACTCAAACCTTTGAGAAAATAATTTAGGCTTGTACTTCAGAGCAGGCTTGGAACAACTAGTGTTGCTTTTACAGATATAGATGTTATGCAATTTATGAGGGCTTTTTGGTTTGTAGCCTTTAACAGCAGTAGCTGAACATACATGGGAACTATGCAGAGAGCAGGTGGGTGCTCCCCAGACATATTCATCATTTTGCCTCTTTAATTTGTGGCATCTATATGCTTTTACATGTCTTGTTTGTAGATAAATTTCAAAAATCAGTAAGAGATGGCTCTTCTCCCTTTTCAATAATCTATACCAAAGATAAAAAGTAACTATGTTTTAATAAGCTGGGGTTGTTTGGTTTTTTTAATCATTATCTTAGCTGAGGTAAAAAACCTGTACTGATTAGAAAATCACAGCTTATCCAAATCATCCAATTGCATGCAAACTGGAGCAAAGAAAGAGAGGATTTATAATCTGGCACATCCTCAGTTAAAAATGTATCCCCATCATTGGGTTTGAGGACACTACATTCTACGCTTTAGATGAAAACATCCGCTGCTCTAACATTGTTGGAAAATATTGTGAGCAGTGAGCCCTACACTGATTTGTCATGCATTCCATCTAAACTGCACACTGTGCTGAGTGTTAGTTTCCTGCTTTAAGATAAACACCCCAGGTGGATGCATGTTCATCAGACTATTAGCTGAGAACATATATTAGCTCAAGAAGATTTTATTGGGATTTTTTAACTCACCTGTGTGAAAAGTCTTTTTGTACAAAAGACTTGCTGGATAAAACATACCCAAAGAGGAAAAAACTATGAAAAGCCAGCAGACATAAGTGATTCCAGTCCTAAGTGTGCTTGTCAAAGGGGAGAAATGAAGATTTCCAACCACATAATATAAAAAAAAGTTATTTTTTAAATACATTTTACAGGCCTTTTAGAGGTGAGTCTTAGATGAACTATGATAATGTGATAGTTCATTAATCAGTTAACTGTGCAAAATGCCTCATTTTAGATGCATATTTATTGTTAGGCACAAAGTAGCAGTGGAAGGATTTTAACCACACACTGCTCACAAGCCTTCTTAAGTTAAGGTTTGCCACTGGCCAATGTTGTGAGGATTTGATCTTGTTCATACCTGTTGTCACTCTTGGGTCTTGCTGCAGGCCAAGTTCTGCAGTGTGACTATAAGTCACTGTAAGTAAAATGGTTTATTATTGTGAGATAAGGACTTGCAAGCCAGGAGAGGCCATCAGAAACAACTAACAACTAGTGGATTTGTTTTCTGCCATTCAACAAAACTTTCCAAGTCTGGAATCTCATCTTTTCCAAAGTGGTGTCTGGTTTTTAACAATTTCCTCATTCTGTTTCAGGAGGTGCTTCCCACCTTTTCCCTGCATGACCAAATGCACACAGATTCACAAAACAGTTCTGACAGAAAGCAAATGAACCTTCCATCACATGTAGTTTCCTGCAAGCTCCAAGTACCTTTCATATGATGGGAAGACCTGGGTTATATGTCTCAAATTAATTTTGAGAAAACAATTAGGGGTTTCCATTTCAGTATTTCTTACAGCAGCCAGTGTTCACCATTCTGACTAATTCTGAACAAAAATCACCATAGTATTCCTCAGCTCTGTGTTCCTAAGGGAGGTGGATGTGAAATTCCCATTAACACAGGTGTAAGGGCACTGAGCCTAATTCAAAGAACTTTAACCTCTGATCTGAACTAAGAGCATGTAGTTGGACCCTTAGTTCAACCTTAGTTTGTGTGCTGTCTTGTTGCAGTAAGTATTGAACATTTAAGATTTTTTTTTAATACAAAATCATTTTCCCTACCATAAATCATAGAACTTCAGATGTAACTTTTAGTCATTTCCATATTTAAATTTAATTGGATTTATTTCACATAGAGGAATGTAATATTATAATACGCTTTCACTGACACTTTTAAAAACTCATTTCAGGTTTTTAGTGTTAAAAATGTAATTTCTATAAATGTAATGCATACCTGCATCAAAGAAGATTACGTCCTTACCAGTTATGTTAAAATTCATAGTAGCCTATAAATCCCTCTACACTTTCTGGGTTGGTCTGAGCTGTCATCTTTCCCTCTTTTTAAATCAGAAATCCCTGTGTCTATTTCCAGCTTGCCCTCTATGTATCCTGATCACTATTTTACTGGCTCTTCTGACTGCTGAGGAAAAGTCTGTCTCAGGTGTTCATAATGTTTTTCATACGCTGATTATTCCATCATTCAAACTCCTGCATTTCTTTTGTTTCTCATTATCCTTATTTAAATTTGTATTGTACTTTTATCAGACCACTGCATGTTATCTGTTTTGTTCTGAAGCTGGTGTCCCATGTTTGCTTTGTTCTCCTGTTTCAACTAGATACAGCTACACTACCTTATTTGCTAAACTGCAAGCTGAGCACCTCATTTAAACATTTAAAATCAAGCTTATTTAAAAACCCATCTCACTCCAGAGACTGCTCTCAGAGATGCATAACTTTTCTGAGGTCTTTCACATAAGTCTCTGTTTTGGGCCAGATTTTTTCTGAAATTCCATCCAGACTTTTAATGAATATCTAAGAATATGATCAGGTGGCAGAGGATTTTCTTTTTTCCTTTTTTTTTCTGAATGCTTTAAAGACTTCAGGTGATATACAGTAAAGCTCTATCATCTGACTCTTCTGGCATAGTAGGTCTTTTAGCAGAGGGTATTTTTGTATTCCCCCCTCATTAATGTTCAAATCCATCCAAGTCTGGCTGGATTATAAAACTTTCAGAAACACATTTTCTGTATGCTTAGGGAGGGTCTGGTAGAATTTAACAGCCAGAATGTCTGCAGGTCCTATCTCCAGCCTCAGAACCCTGGTCCTCTTGGATATTCTGTTATGGACCAAACTGCATGTGCCACCCTCTCAGCCCTGCACACACCTCCCTGCAAGATTAAGTGGCACGTGGTCATCCCTGTGGAGCATGTGGAGCAGTTCCCACCTGAGCAATAGAGGTGGAGTCAGTTTTACCCTACATTTTTATGGGGAGAGGGCTTGGGACAAAAAGGAGGCAAAGACTTGGGTAGCAAGGCAGCTGTTGGGAATAGCTGAAGAGCAGACCGGTCTGGAAGCTAACAAGGAGAGCACAGTTAAAGGCACACAATGGGAGGGTGATGGAAAACTTCTGTGTCATCTCTGTGCAGTTGTACAGCTTTGTGAGACAGACTAAGCTTCCTGTTAAAGCTTCTCTTCCAAGACCTACATAAAGCAGCCCGAGCGCTCTTCAGAGTATAACGATTCCTTTTGATTTGAGCCAACTGGCCCTGCAAAGAGAGTCATTCCCTGCCTCTTCCTGCAGAATGTACAGTAGGTTTGGACAATAGGGGCCATGAGGTTTCACTTGTGTAGATGTTGAACTGCTACAGCTGCTGACCAAGATTAATATTTTCTACCTGACCTGAACTGGCCTTGGCTGCAGCTTCTTTCTTTTGCTTTTCTTTTTTTTTCTTTTAATCTTTCTTTTTTTTTTTTTTTTGTTAATAAGCTGGTTTTAGAGTCCAAAAATGGACTTGAGTGACTTCAAGGCTGATGTTACATCGTTCAAAAGCTTTTGCTTTTTGGCAGTCGTGAGTTGTGTATAAACAATGTGCCTGTGTATTCAGCTGCTTTGCCCTACAGGCAGGGCAGACACCTGAAGTTTTGTCATTGACAAAAGATATGATTACTTAGTAACATTTTCGAGAATATGACTAAATATTGCTTTCAAACTGTTGTCATCAAGTGTCAGTTGTGCACTTGAATCACATATGCATTAGCATTCTAACATTTACAGGCCTGCAGGGGTATTTTTCTAAAACTTAAATCTTCCTAGTGTTTTCTTGGCGTGTTTCCCATCTTGCTCTCCTGTGATTGACGAGGTGAACTTGCCAAGGAACTTCATAGGAGAATTATGAGTATAGAAGTGTAGAGCTGCATGACATGTTTTTGGTTTAGTTAAAAAAAAAAATGCTATTTACAACAGAATCAAGAATCCTAAATCACGTGTCCAAATCAAGGCATATTTCATTGCCTTTGAGAGGGAGAAGGGTTATGATGGGAAGTTTCCTCTCCAGCTGCTTGTTGGTTTTAATCTGAATGTAGTGCTTGGGATAGACGTAATCATTTTTTTACTACATATGAGAAATCCACAGGACTTTATTCCAACTTGATGCACCTCCACTTCTGATATCTCACAGGAAACTGAGTCCTTCTCTTCAAGTGATTGGCATCATTGTGCAGAAGGTGTGGGATTAAGTTCTTGGGGCAAGGTCTCATATTTTTTAGGCAGGCAAGCATACATTAATATTCAGTGCCAATTTCTTTTATCGCTTAAAATCATCATTTTATTAAATATTGCAATTATATTTTTAAAAAATATTTTCCCAAGTAATGTGAAGGAAAGCCACGTGCAACTCTTAGCAAAATAACATTAAAATTATTTTCTGATGTTTTGGGTGTCATATCTACACTTAATACTGCATTTATTCAAGCTTTCATTACACACGGTACCATTTGGAGGGTTTGTGTTGTACATTTAGTTCAGTAGAGGAATGGTTTGCTGTGGGAAAAATCAATGTGTCTGCCATTCTAAAGCTTTCTCATTAGTTCCATGCCTAGTGAATTTGGCTTGCATGCATTAAAACTTCTTAAAGAAAACAGATATTCCTGGTCTTCTTCATCTCTTTTTAGTAATTTAAGTATAGGCCTGTAATTCACATTTGTTTTATCTAATTAGAGCTACTTCTCTCTTAGTTTAGTCATTTTCTCTTTTAGCCCAATTGAGCAATGCACATTATTTTTCACATAGAGCATCAACATACTGTGGTTTGAATTTCTGTTTAACTACATTTTTATATTTGTCACAAACCATGCAGGACACTAGAGCTGAAGGGACAACATGCAGCACACCTTCTATTGTTCTTCCAGAGAATGCTGTTACACCAGATTCAGAAATTGATAAAAACCTGGTTAACAGGTACTGTATAATACATTACCCATCTATGCATAAATTGTACAGTAATTCCAGGTGCTGTGTTTCTAAAATACTGCTTTGAAATGTATATTGTATGAAAGTGTTGTTACTATATCTCCATTTGTGATTTGCTCATGTTGTCTTTGCATTTTGATGATGGTGTTTGGAATGCAGGGTGGGGAAAAGGAATATAAGTGATACTAAAAGACCAAGTTGCATATAATACTAAGCCTGCCAACCTGACTCATTGAGTTGGACAACTTAAATGTCTTGAATACAGATTTAATACAGATTTAATAATTTAATACAATGAGTTTTGAAGCAGATATTTGGACCCGTTCACATGGATGGGACAAGAATACCACCTTGAGGTGAAGCATATGTGAAAGTAAGCTATTAAATGGAAATAATAATTCTGTTTGAAGTGCAAAACTTCAATTCAGTTTTAAGTTGAATTAAGGTTATTTCCACTCTTCTGATAAAGCATACTTCCTGACCTGGGATTTTTAGTTTATTGAACTGCCATTAGACTTAAAATACAGGGGAAAAAAATGAATCAGAAGGTATTGATTATAAATCTATAATTTGCTTGTACTTCAGCAAACTTCAAGATTATTTTAGAGTCAGAACTGCAATGCATCCCTTTAAAAGCAAAATTATTTGCCAGATCAGTATTTAAATTTCTGCAGTCATTTGAGACTTTCACCTGTTTTGCATGTGACTTTATAGGAGTGTCAGTGTGGGAGCCTAAGGAATTATTTCAGCCCTAAACCTTAGTTTAAGAAGCTGTAACAATTTACAAAGACTAAATTTGTTTCGGTATGTACCACATTTACATGAGTTTTAAGTCATGATCATGGTCTAAAGAGATGTAGGATTTTTTCTGAGAAATCTAAAATCACAGTGTATGAGGTTATCAGCAAATTTCAGAACTCCTTTGTGAGAGCAATTTCTACAATTTTCCTTCTTTCTGCAATCTCCTCCATTTTCCAGTTGTTTGGAGATGAGAGGAACTGCAATAAATGTTTTTTGTCTTCTTTTTTTTTAAATCAAAGTGCTTTCTTTTTAGTGTTAAATTTTTATAGATAATTAGGACTTTTTTAAAAAATTCTTCTCTCTAGGTCTCGTAGTCCTCATAGGAGACACTCTAACCGTGCCAATAGGAATTCAACGAGTTCATTGACTTCTGTTGGTAAGAAGTGATTATTCATTTAAGCTGGGATGTTTTCTCAGAAAATGTGACGTGCAATAAAGACCTAATTATGGAGTCTGACTGTTCTGACTACAATTTTTTCTTGTGCACACTACGTAATGTGATCCTTGCATGCACAGGGAATACTGCTGGCATGTTGAATTTTGTAAGTGAATTGCATGCAGAGTGGGAAATGTGTATTGTTAGATTGCTGCATCAGCTTAACATTTTTAGAAGGCTGGAGATGTATGTGCTTTAAATTCTTGTTGAATAGAGACTACTATTCAGTAATAATGGGTTTTGTTACTTTTGAACTTACTTGCTCAAGACGGGTGGGCCGTCTCTCAAAATTCTGACACACAAATCTTGGTTCAAACCAAAACAGATATTTCATTGAAAATAGGTTGCTTTAAGAATATTCACTCTGGGGGCATGATATTTGACAGCCTTGAAACTGATGTAAATTTAAGGAAACTAAAGCCAAAGCACCACTCCCTTCCCCCCAAAAAATCAACCAAAACCCAATAAAGAAACAACCCCACACCCACAAACCAAAAACCCTTGAATTTTTGTTGCTTACTCATGCCCTTAGCTTTTCTGAAGACTGGTGATTCTGTAATGGCTCTTGTCAAATTTTAAAATATTTTTCTTCTATTACCTGATGACTTTCCTCCTCCCATCCAAGCTGTTCTTTAGATGCTTGTAAAAGCCATTTATACCCACTCACACAGTTGCCTTTCTGACAACTGGCTCCCTTCTTTACTTTGTCATAGCCTGGAGAATTGTAAAAATTGGTGCTCAAAGTTTCGTGTTTTCAAATAATCTGGAAGCCAGGAATCAATGGGTTCATTCCACAAATAATTAAAATTGTTTAGAAAACAATGCATTAACCTAAAGGCCTAAGTGTAAGGCAGTGGCCTTCAGCTTGTGGTCCATGCACCCTCCTGAGTCACTTATCTAACATCAACATAAGTGTGCATGAGGAAAAGCAATCTCTTACAACACCCTCTTTAACCCTTGGGTATTCTAATGGGTATTCTATTGGGAATTTTGCTTTGGAAAACCCCACATGGTAGAGATTGATTTGCTTTTTGAAACAGCTTTATAATTCTTAGGCTTTAAATACTCAACTCCTACCTGCAGCTTTGCCAGGTACAACTTTAGTGTTGCTTCTGCATTTGTGGGAAAAGCTCTTCTGTTTGCATAGAATAAAATCTTTATACTTCCAAACTCTGCACTTTAGTTATAGATTATTTCATTTAATCACCTGTTTGTTAAAACTAGTGTGCATAAATCTTTGCTGGGTGAATTTGTGGGATCTTAGCCTTGAAAAACTGAACATACAAATTCCAGGAAAAGACTCAATCTACAACAGAAATACCATGACTTTTAGTTGATATGGATCTAATGCCACTTCTATTTAGAAATTAGAACAACTGTATTGGGGACACTGCTGAAAAAAGCAGTTTCACATATCAGAGCATCTTTGATCATAGGGATTTAATCTTAGTGGGTTATCTGTGCTTTGGAGGACTTGCTCTAAACTTGAGAATATAACATTAGAAATGAGCAGACATTAATGTTTGTTAAATGCAAGCTCAAAGCTAAATTTACAGGTATGTTTTGTAATTGTTACTCCAACATGCCACAAAATATCTGGAAACTGGAGGTACAGCTCTAATTCTGATGTTTTCTACACAGACAACAGCGGGCACGTGATTGACCTGGTAAATGATCAGCTACCAGATGTCAAAATATCAGAGGAAGACAAAAAGAAGAACCTGGAGTTACTAGAAGAGGCAAAGAAAGTGAGTGAGAGGTTTCTGATGCGCAGAGGCAGAAAGTCAAGGAGCAGCCTTCCGGAGTCACCCACGGGTAGGTGCAGATTCTGAAAACAGGATTGTATATTCTGCTTCAAACAAGTACCACTGTAATCCATACATTGCTACTGTTTACATACACTTTGTTCATTTGATGGTCAGAATCCCTCTGCCCCTCTCATGATTCCATATAAAACAGAAATCACAGATCTCTGTATTCAGATCGGTCAGTGGAAAATGTTGTGAAGTTTTTAAGTGCCTGAATGTCACACTGCAAACACTGTAACAAGAAAGCATGAGGTATTTCTATTGAAATCTAAAAAAGGGTCACAATTACTGTTTGTGGGTATTTTCTTCCTAATGCTCCTATTGTACATTAAATGAAATTATAATGATTCATACTGCTGATAAAACATTACCCCAGACATAATTACAGACTCTTATTCTGAACATAGTCATAAACTAAGCTAAATGAACCAGATCATACTTTAAAAACAGCAGAATAAAATGTTTTGTTCTAGTATGTCAATTGAAATTATTTTTTCCCCTTATATGAAGTGGTTGAAAACTAGAACAAAATGCCATTTTACCATGAAATAGGACTTTCATTTAGCTTTGAAAAGCGTGTTCAAACAAAGTTTCATCTTAAAATTGGCTTGACAGCTTCTGGAGGGAAAAAGACCCCCACAGCTACACTTACTAGAATTAAATTTTCTTTTTCTTTTTAACTAAGTTCCACCTGAATCCTGTTTTATGCTACTTCTCTGCAGTGCTTACAGTATCAGAAAACTGAGGAGAACAAGGATTCTCTGTATCAACAAAACAGTATTAGTTTTTGGCAGGTATAAAAAAAAAACCTACTTAAAGTTCCTAACTTACTTAAAATTACTTGTCAGGTTCTGGCAAACCACATGACTGATGACTATGATATTCATGCTTTAATCTTATCTGAATTTTAAAAATTCAGAAGCTACAAGCCTAGAAAGTAAAATTACCTTTTTGTTTGTTTGTTTTTGTCTTTTTTCTAATGAAGCAGTTTCCCCTACTCTTAGTCCTAAAGTTTCACCAGTAGCATCTCGGAGCAACTCTCTCACTCTTCCAGTTCCATCAGGTAAAATGACCATAGAATAGGTAAGGGTGGAAAAGACCTCTAAGATCAACAAGCCCAACCATTTTCAGGTTCAAACTTTAATTTATGAAAGCTCGCAAAAAAAAAAAATTGTAATATTTCTCGAGGAGAAGTCAGGAGTAGATTTAAGTCTCTACTCTTGAATGTTATAAAGCCCATGAATGTATATAAAATACAGTTTTACATATATGTATTTAATTATATTTTTATTCCCGTGGTGCTGCAAGGTTACTTGTTCTACTTTTTTAAACTATTTAATAATGGAGTTTTGAGAAGCTTTAATGATCTTTCACTTACTATATTTTTGAATATTTTTTTTCCTTTAAATTAGTTTTTTTGACCTTTAAATTTTTTCCTTTCTATATTATGGGGAACTGTACACATATGTGTTGCTAATGCTATAGAAGTAAAAACTTTGAGCAGAATATCAGGATATGCCCTAATTAAGTGTGTATCTTTCCAGGGTCTGATGCGTGCACAACCACTAGTATTGAGTCAGTATCTCCAGGGCAGGTAAGAGCTGAATAGTCTGTGCAGTAACCTGGTTTTTACAGTACTATATTTGTATGTACTGCCCTTTTAGTCCCCAAGGAAAATGGGATGTTTGGAATACTGGTTTATATACAGCAAGATTGGATTATTGATATGTTTTTTCTGCAGAGCGAGGAACTGTTAAATGTTTACTCTGAAGACAAAAATCCATGAGGTAACAAGTGCTGAAAGATCATAGAGATCTTTTAAGTGTAGAAAATAGAAGAAAATCCAATATAATCCTAATCTATGAAAAAAACTAATCCCTAAATTTATTTCATAAATAAATGTGACAAGCAATGTAAAAATTAAGAGATTCAAAGTTCATCCATTAATATCTATATCTAACATTTGCAGCGTAGATGTGAAAGATAACCCTGTAAGGCAATTCTTTCTTCCCTTTTTTTGCCAGAATAACAGAGCTGTGAAAGAGGATGACAGGCAAACTGCAGAGGTAAGTGTTTCACGTTAAGAGGTGAACAAAGTCTGCTGGTTGTGTCTTAGCACACATATAACTTGTTTATGTGATTAAAAACGCTGAAAAACTGTTCAGTGAGTGAAAAGAAAATTATACTGCTCTAGGAAATTGTGAAGCACCTGCAAATGTGGTGGAGGACAGTGGACCTCCAGTTGATCTTTACATCCTATCATGCACCCTGCACTAGTTCAATTAAAATCAACACATTAAATGTCTTTATAAGTAAAGTCAAAATATCTACCATAGCCACTTTGGCGTATGCCAGTGTTTCAGACAGACATCCTCCTCCAGATCCCTTTGGTTCAGTGGGAGAGGTTACTGAACCTTGTGTTGCTTACCACTGGTGGGATGTAACTGCTCCACACAACTACCAGTGGAGAAGTTTATATGAATGTTTCCTAATTTGTTTTAGGTGATATTGGTTAAAGAGGTTTCTCTGTGTGTGGAATGGGCCACACTAACAAAAACCACTATGGCAGCAGAGTTTTGGAGCAGTAACTATAAAGGAGAAGAACAGCAACCTATCTAAGGCAGAGCCCATGGTCAGATTGTATGTTGGTGGCCTTAAATTGCTGACACAGGTACCCTTAGACAAAATACAGATTCTGTACCAAAGGAGCCAATGTATAAGCAAAAATTCTTCTCCTGCAGAGATTGCAACCAAATTAACATCTGTGGTACTGCACACAAAGAAAGAAGAGAGAAATTAAGATATGTGCTTTAACTTAGTGTACAAGCCCATGGGGTTTTGTTCCCTTGGGAGGTGAGGGACTAACAGAAAAGAGACAAAGGAAAGTAACAGTGCTGTAAGATACAGGGTTAAAGGTGTGTGTTCAGACAAACCTTACATTAAAATGATGAGGAACTTGACCGTGTGAGCATTGCTGTAATGGACTCTGGAATGGGAGAGGTTAACTCAAAAGTTCAGAGAGGAGATTCCCAATTTAGTATTCTTTAAGTGCCTTTTAAAAATTATTTCTTTTGTCAACAGCACACATTTAAAAGCAAATGTCACTGAAAAGGAAATGGCTTTTTACAGTGAAAATCTGTCCTTGGGCAGGAGAACAGAGGAATCTGGTCTTGTTTCTTTGTTTTATGTGTGTCCCTCTACTTTCAGAATGCTGCAAAAGGATTAATTGATCGAAGGCAGAATGATCAAAGAAAGATTTCTCAGGGAAGGTTGGTTCCTCGTTCTGCTGGTTTTGAAAACTCCAAAGAGAAGCTATCTGACCAAAAAGAAAACTTTGATCCACGTAAACATATGGATACTTTACCTAAATGCTCCCCTTCAGGTGGTGATGGTGGCAGAATGTCTCTTAATACTTGCGTGACTGTTTGTGAAAATGAACTTGGAAAATCATTCCTCAAGAAAGGAAAAGAAAATGATGTTCCTTTAAGAACCCATCTACCAGGACCAGGGATAGGAAATATGGACTCAAAGCTAAAAATGCCTGTTCCAGAAATGAAGGACCACAAAGTTTCATGTAAACCAGAATTTAAACTGTGTGGACTGCGTCCTCCTCTACTGCGGGCTGTGTCATGGGACAGCTTGGAGCCTGGACAGAAAGAGAAAACACCTTCAAAATTACCATCTGAGGAAGATAAAAACTTTGCTGGTAATAAACCCAGCAATCAGTTAAAAGCATTCAAAGACCTTCAAATCCAAGTTCAACCAGTTCGAATGCAGAAGCTGACGAAGCTCAGGGAGGTGAGTCCTAACCGCTTGTATCCTGTTTTAAAGTTGTTTTCATATCTTGCCAAACTTTCAACTTGCTTAGCATTATTTTTATCATTGCAAGATACAGTGATATAGCAGGAAACAGTTTCAGCAAAATCAATACAGGATTGTATCATGTTTTTCCTTTGCAACTTTAGTAAATTGTAACCTGTAAGTAATTCCGTGGAATTATTCTATTTCAACATGCATCAAGTGCACTCTGGCACTCTGGTATCTTCAATATCCATGTGTGTGCTCTGGCACATTGTCATACTGGTGTCAAGAATGTACTAATTGCTTTCATTCTGACAGAAAGGTGAGTCTAAAACACAGTATAGCTCATTTTTTGCATTTTTTCTGTAAACAGAAAGCAACTGATTAACAATCATTTTATTTGTAAAACATACATGGGACTAAATTAACCTAATTTTTTTTCTGAAGAGAATTTTAGACCCAAAGTTCCTTCCTCAGGACGTAACAACATTCTCTTTAAAAGAGTCACTTATGCTTTTTTACTTCCCTTGCTTCCCTGTGATAAGCTTTTTCTGCTCCTTCAGAATTGTCCTCAGATCCACAGGCTCTCACAATATAGTGACTAATTGTTTGATTTCTGTATGAGTGGGCTAAGACCTCTGTATGAACAGAAATCTGTTACTGAAGTTTGGAGTTACTGTACCCTTGTATAAGGGCTTACAAGCCTTTGTATATCATATATTGTTTGTAAACTTTATTAGGATTTAAAATTCACATTTACTTTGTTCAGCTAATCGTTTATGAGTCCTGTGTTGGTTGGTACTCTCCCTTCACTCTCCCTGCTACTCTCCCAGGCAGTAGACCTGTCATTCAGGAATACCAGCCTTTGCAATAACATTACAATTGCAGATCTGAGGGGACAGTAAATGGTTCTGGTATGATTATTTGCTTATTGAACATTCTCAGAAAATGTCTCAAAGTGTCCAGAGCTGTAAAACTGGGGGTCTCTGAGAGCAAGGGCAGGTAGAGAATGTCCAGACTCACAGTTCCTAATTCTAACATGGTGCAAATGTCTCAGAATCCAGAAGAATAGACTTGGACACTGTGGTATCTATAAACTAATTGTTAAATAATTGTCTAAATGATTAGTAAAAGTTAAGAATTAAACCCTAAGAAAAAAGGCAGAAATGTCATGAAATGATAAACCACCATAAGAAAGCAACTACCATGTCTCTATTACAGGAATGACCTTTGAAAGAAAAAAAAAAGAACTAGTAGGTACTTTCCTGAACAGCTTAATGAGAATATTTTCTTTGATCCCCAGTAGTCAATGTTTTAAGATGAACAAAGGGCTGACAGGCAAGGACCTCAAATTCTGCACTTTGGTTAATTCATTCTCAATGTATTGGGAATGGCAGCTCAGTTACTCATCTTTCCTGTTTATGTAACACACATATTCTTAGTGTACACATACTGTAAGTTTTGATTATAGAGACACTTGAGCAACATAATTATGGAAGAAAGTCTTTACTGTGAGGGTGCTGAGGCACTGGAACAGGTTGCCCAGAGAAGCTGAGGATGCTCCATTCCTGGAAGTGCTCAAGAACAGGTTGGATGGGGCTTTGAGCAACTTGGCCCAGTGAAAGGTGTCCCTGGTCAGGGCAGGGGGTTTTGATCTCAATGATTTTTAAGGTCCCTTCCAAACCAAACCATTCTGTGAGTCTAAGATTCTCTAGTTCTGAATGGCCTAGAAGTTGCTAAGCACAAATAACAGAATTAAAAAATTAATATGACATGATATATAATTCCAGTTAGGTGAACTTTGAACTTTGCTTCCAGTAGGAATTGTCTACTCGTAAACAAAAGCAGGTGTTTGTGAATTTTAAAAAATATGTAAGAATATGAAAGAGACAAAAAAAGGAGAAATAATACAACAAGGTTTAATTCTGGAGAGCATTTTTCCCTACCTGTAAGGAGTAGGGGCAGAATACAGTGACAGTGAAGCATTAACTTGCAGCTGTAGCATCCCAAGCTCTGGTCTTAATCAAGTCAAAGTGGCCAAGTCTCATATATAAGATTTTCTGAATTTTCTCTGTTTTCTGGAATGCTCAGTAGTTACTGGAGCTATGTCCAAAATTGCTTTTTTTCCACTCCCAATTACTAAAACTCTCTTTTTCAAAACTCTGTATTTCTATTTGAGTAAGGGGCACATTTTGCAAATCTCTGTTTGCATGACCAGGATTTTTTCTAAATAATGCTGCATGAAATAAGAAATATGTAATAATTTAAAGTGTGTGTGAATGTCTGTGTATCCATGCTATGTAGCACCTGACTATAAGTTAATATAGATAATCTCCATTATGTTTATTAACTAAAGTAAATGTTATATTCACTGTTCACGTGGAAGGGATATTTGAGATTTCTAGTTCAGTTACTTAGATATGTTACTGTTTTTCTTAACAGGAGCATATTTTGATGAGAAATCAAAATTTAGTTGGACTTAAACTTCCTGAACTTAGTGAAGCGGCTGAACAGGAAAAAGGTGCAGTATCATAAAAGCTGAAAGGAGTGTTTGTTATACACTGATTCTTATAATTGACTGTTGGGGGGGTGGGAGGAAAAGTCTTTTTGTTCAGTTGCAATAGTAGTTGAAGCAGTCATGGAGAAAGGTAATAAATGGTGATTAAGAGAGACCAGTAATGGAACTACCTGAATTTCTTGATGACCTGAGCCAAGAAGATGCTGTAGGTATTATTACAACCAAGTGAAGAGATGCACATGTGGAACTGAGTCTATTTTGGACATAATAGCTGGAGGACTGCCTCGAGTTTCAGTGGCTTTCTGTAAAAACTCTTCAGCAGTGATGGATTGATTGAATGTGACCTCTGCAAGATATTGTGGTCAGAAGGGTGAATTTAATCCTTGGGAGTATAAATAGGAGATGGAATGCTTTATTCCTGCTTTTTTATTTTAGTATGAGTGTGGCAAGCATTGAAATGGCATTTTCACTTCTGGTACATGTCAATGTTATAAGAAAGAGTAAGGCCACAGAAGAGTCATAAGTGTGATTGAAGGACTGGAAAAATTTGCCTCGCCTAAGGGGGATTTTTTAAGCTCAATTTCTATGATATTTAAGGAAAAATAAAGGAAATGGTTTTTTTAAGGAAAAGGCTTAAAACTCTACATAAATGAGAAAAAAGAAATCTGGCACCAAATGTTTTTTTTCCAAACTAATACAAGCACAAGAGATTTGATGCACCCAAAAAGATTCAGGATAAAAATAAACAGCAAAGATATAAACCTGAGGACAATTCAACATGTGGAAGAATTAAATAGCAATAGTGCTGAGCTATCAAACGAAAATATTTACACCAAAACTATGTATTTGTTTGAAAGTAATAAAGTCAGAACTTGTTCAGAGTGTTTTTAAGGCCACATTAACTGAAACTGATTGTCCAAAATTTGATGCAAAGACAATCTCAATTTTTCTCAATGCTGTTCATTTTGCTAATTGGTAGATCTGCTTTGGGACTATTTCATAAGGCCTCAAGTTTCTGTTACACTGAGAGGTGGTTGAGACATTTCATGTTACCTCTGGAAAGAGACTCATCTTCAGTCGAAATGAAACAAAATGAAAAGACACTTCTTGTCCTCTACATATAGTGATTATAGCTTGGGATTCTTAGAGGTGATAATATTATTCCTGTCACTCTGATAATATGTAATTTCCTGGAAATTATTTAGCAGGCTCTGTTGGAAAATGTAAAATAGTTGCCATTTTACCAGCCCGTTGGATAATTTTTTCAGGTTTGAAAGTTGTGAGCAAAACATTATGAAAAGCTAAGCATTATTTTATCCAGCTTTCCAGCCAAGATCTCATGAGCATCACAAGTTTTTTAGAGTCCAGCATTTTATCTAAATGATAGCCAGAACGTTAAGGGTCAACTCTTTGTCCTCAGTGGGGAAAACAAGCGAGGGGTCAAATCCTTAGTTCATTTTTTAGGGAGACTTCCTTACATTGTCATAAAAGCCACCTTGTGCTTTTTAGCTGGAGTAGTAATTCTGCTTAAAGAGTAGGAAATAGCCAGATACTTCATTATTACTGTTATTTATCCAGTATACTGTCTCCATCATGTTTTCTATCAATGACGAGTTATTGTGATCATCTGAGTAAACTTTGCATCTCCAGAATGTAAGATAAGTGCAATATATTACATCTGGAGACATTGTGGGGTCAGGCTGCATTTCATGGGGAAACATGATTTAAGACAATACTGGAATTTTTTAATATAAAGGAAATGCATATAACTAAAATGTAGCTAGAAAGAATCTCCCATTTTTTCTGACTTTCATGCTCTCCACATTTACAAAATTTGAGCTTTTTCACACTATTTGTTTTGCAAATCTAAGAATCTTTCTGTTACACCTAATGAAAAACAGAGATGTACAACTTACCTTCCCAAGTCTGAGATTCAGACTGAGGAACCTGCCTTTCCTATAGGAAGGTCCTTCAGTAAATTCTGGCAAGATGGGAGGAGAGAAGGGAATCATTATATATGAAATTAAATAAAATTAAAATACAAAAGCTAAGTAATATGAATTTAAAAAAAAAAGTTTGAGCCATATCTTGGTCCTTATGAAAGTAATAGAAGTAGAGAAAGTAAGGATAACCTTTATGTCTTGTTTCAATGAACATGCAATGAAACAAGTGCATGTTGTAATTCATTACCATAAATGGTGCACAAAATCTCTAGTATAGTACATTACTCTAGACTTTATCTTGGTAGGTGGCATTTAAAGCCTCAGAAAATGACAGTATTCTCCTAGAAAATCTCATGTAAAATATTCCAGAAAGGATGTAAAGCAAAAATGCAAAACATTAGGTTAGAAGTTCAAGTGTTGAATCTGCATTCAGTTTGAATTCTAGGAAAAATACTAATACAAAAATTATTTTTCAGTGCATTAGAGTCTGTCAGAGCACATATTACTTCAGTTTTTCAATGACAATTTTGCAGATTACTTTTGTCGTCACTGCTCAAGAGGAAGACAGGGAATGTTTAGCAGTAAAGGAGGGATGAGTTATCACCACCTGCAGTAGAAGAAGTAATATTCTGCATGAAGGGATGGACCTTTACTTTTTGTTCACTTTTCTCCCAGTAGAGTTGGGTGGAAGCCTCACTGATTTTAAAAAGGACACAGTTAAGCTGAGAGGTCCTATTTGCCTCTGAGATGCTGACTTTTAATAGTTAATGCATGACTTTTCAAATAACATAATTTTTTTTAAATCTGAAAATGTCTTCAGGTCCTTCACCTCTCCCTTCCCCCACTGAAGAGGAAGAGCCAAAGAATAGCTCTGATGTCATGCCCAGCATTCCTGATGTACTGCTGCGAAAACTACGAGTGCACAAATCGCTTCCAGGAAGGTAAAAGCTCATTAGAAGTGGAAAGATCATCCGGGAGAAGGAACACTAATGGGTTCCAGTGAACTCCCTTTATGGAGTTCCATTCATAGAGGTCCATACAAGTAGATAAATTGCTGCATCTTAAAATGTGCAACACGGATTTTCTGAAAAATTTTGAAGAGTGCACCAAACTTCCAGGATTGCTGGTGCAGATATAAATTCATGTTGAAAGAATTAGTATTTCTCTCCCCCAGAAAAATAATCAGGGCAGATAATGCTTACCCGTGGTAGAATTTGGGCAGGTAAGAATTCTGCAATTTTTCTGCAGGTGACAATTTTTCAGGGAAATTGAGTTTATTTTGCAAACGTAGTTGAAGGACTCGCTTGCAAATTCACTGATTTGGGCTTTGCAAGACATTAAAACAATTCCAAACATATTTGGCCAAAACTAGTTCCTATATTCACCCAAGTGTTTTTGTTCCAAAAACACCAGAGGCCTTCAGTCATTTGAAGCAGAAAATGAGTGTCCTCTGTGCCAATGAAATAAATATTTAACATTTGTCCTGAAGGAACTGTTATATACAATATTTTATAGAAATGAATGCGCGAGGTGAAGAAGTTCAGAGAGAGCACTGCTTGATTGTAATCAATACTGAAATGTAGTAGAAAACTCATAAACCTCAAACATATGTTACTTTGTTCTTTTCAATCAAATATTAGAATAGCTTTGGTTTTAGAGACAAAACACATTAAAACATGATTTTTTTGCTTTTATTTCTAGCTCCCCTCCACTTACTGAAAAAGAAGTTGAGGTAAGTATGTTCCTAAACTAATTATTTTGGGCAAATGCTTCAATTTTAAGTGGTTACTGTAAGTCTAAGGGTGGTTATTAGAACAAGGTAATGGGTTGATTCTTTTTCCCAAAAAAAATATTTCTCAGAAAAAAACATTTTGACCTCAATCAACGTAATGACTTTGTGAAAGAAGAGCAACACGAACTGTAAAAAGACAGAGTAGGAAAAAGCAAAATATTTGTATGTGCGTTTTTCATAATAAAATAGGCATTCATTTTGGAAATTATTATAATATATACCTAAAGTAGTGAAAAAATGAGATTAAATGGGAGCAGAAACTAAACAAGTTAAATTGCATTTTTATTGGCCAATAGGAGCTTTGGGGCAGTTTTTGATAATATCTTGCTGTTAGTTTACATAGTTTTTACTTTCTCAGTTCAAACCAATAATTTTGTTTGCAGGTTGCTCTTTAGCTTGCAGGCTTTGTTTCTTTTTTTCTTTTTCACATACCAGTCAAGAAAATTATCTTTATTTACATAGATACATGGAACTGTTGGTGCCTTGTGCTTTGCAAAGTATTAATCCTAAGAAATAATGTATCTGGTGAAGAAAGAAACAATCTTTAAAAGCAGGGTGCAAGAGAATAAAAATGTTAGCACTTAATCTTTCGCTGGCTTCAGTGGTAGGTGTTTATCCCTTAGGTAAAACAATGCTAATGCTGAGCTCATCTCTGGACTTCCTCTGCACAGACTATCTGTTTAAAAACCTTGGGGACCCTTGGAGGAAGTCCAGCTAGAAAACAGATCCATTGTGATTCTGGTGCTTCTGGTAGGGCTACTTCCTTCATTGTGTCTCTGCTCTACTGAGCTCTCAGAAAAACATTCAGGAAAAGAGGCAATAGCACATTTACTCATAATTTAGTGGAAGTAAATAGAAATTATTTTTGAAACAAAATAATTTTCAAAAATATCTTCAGTTTTCCGTTTCAGTACTTATTAAAGTACCGAAGTTTGTTAAACAAATACCTCATTCATAAATTGTTATTGGAAATTACATTGCTGTGAGACTTATTGAAAAAATGCCTTTTTTTAATCCAAACAGAATGTATTTGTACAGCTTTCCTTGGCCTTTAGAAATGATAGTTACACGTTGGAATCTAGAATTAACCAAGCAGAGAGAGAGAGAAATCTTACAGAAGAGAATGCTGAGAAGGAACTGGAAAACTTTAAAGCAGCCATTACGGTAAGAAAACAACAGGAATTCTTTTCCTGAACTGTAATGTCCGTGAAAGTGCACACACATTGGAAATATGCATGACTATTCTTTCTTACATGTACTGTAAATTCAGCCCCAAAACTTCATTTTCTGCTGCTCGAGCTCCTTACCGTGAGCTGCCTGCCACTCTACAGGAGAGAGAGCATTTTCTGCCACAGTGGGCCACCACTGCTGGAAAGGCATAGGGGATGTTGCCCTACATCTGGCAGATTTCAGGAATAAATACTATTAATTTGCTGGTCAGTTCTGAAATGGTCTGAAACCTGAGTCCTGACATTTGCAGCTTGAAAGATGCAGATACAAGAAGGTGGTACAGGAAAGGAAACAGCGGGGATTACTTAGGGAATACATGCACCCTCAGGATCAGGTTTTGGGCCTGAATACACTTCCATTAGAGCTGTCCCTGATGTTCCTTTATAGCAGCAGTTTTCAGTCCTTCCTGCCAGCTTTCTCTGCATTTTCTAACTGAAATGACAAATATATCTCTGAGATGTGTCAACCTATGTGCTGCACATGTTTTTGTGCAGAAAAGGGAAGGGATGGTTAGATGACATGCTGCTAAATGAAAGCTGTAGAACCAGTTTGCACATTACAAGGAGGTGCTGCCATTCTTATGAGAAATAGTGAGGAAAACATATATTTCTCCAATTTACTTTATCAAGAATGTGATCAGGTAAGAAAGCATACTATCAAAAAGATTGCTATATTTACATCTTTTCATCTGTAGTTTCAAATCTGCATTTCCAAATTAATTGTTTCTGGAAAAAAAATGTTTTGAATGTTTTGCTGCTCTTCCCTCTGTTCTCTATGTAAAGAGCAAGCAAAAACAACTCATTAAATCTCAGGATTTTCAGACTGAAAAAATGTCTGTTAGGTTTGCCGTGTATTTCTCTTAAGAATCCCTAATTAGGCACCAAGGACCATGTTGCCAGCATGGGACAGATGTGATTAGCTTTTTCTTCCTCTGTGCAGTTCACACACTACAGTCTGGCTTTTACAAGCTTTTTTATGTAATTTATAACAAATTGGAAACTGCCATTCCTATGAAAGCTTTTGTTCTATACAATGGAATAAACTAACAAGCAATTAAATGTAGTGATGACTTCTTTGTAATCTCTATCATATTAGACTCATTCCAATCTCATTGAGAGGTTATCTTCATTTCTGTAGGGCAGGCATACATTATATGGCTCAATGACAGTTTTACCAGTCTTTCTCATTCTTTTAATGAGTCTGGTGATAATTGATGTTTGTTATTAAAAATCCTAACTTCCAGAGAAAGCTGATCTACATGAACTTCAGATTTGTTCAAGAAAATAAGGAGGTTACAGCTGCAAGTAAAAAAAATGGAAAATCTGAAATTCTATGCATGATTTTTCTCAGACAGATTCTTCTCTTATGCCTTCTTGGTTCTCGCAGTCAAATTTTGGTTGCAATTTATTATCAAAGTAGCTTCCATGATAAATAAGTGTAAAAAATTTTTGTGGTTGCAATTGTTGTTGTGCCAGATTCATCAGTCTCTTGGCTGTGTTTCTACACCAAAGGTTAGCACTATAAATGCAATTTCTGAAACAACTCTACTCAAAAATTACCACATATCATTCCCTTCTTTTGAGGTGAGGGAGAAAAAGAGGAGCAGAGGTTATTCTTTTCTCACATCACTTCAACTCCTTGACTTACTCTTGCAGCAATACAAGTGAGGGGTTGCAGAGAACTAGGGCACATTGCAGCTGGACAGAGGGAAAATGTGTGGACAACAGCACAGTGATTAATTACTTAAAACAACCTCATTGCCAAAACTGGTCCATCCTAAAAATGCTCTTTTAGAATATAGAAATCATGCAGCATGACGAAGTCTGCCTGTAAGACTGAACTAAATTGTAAAGGGTTGTCACATATCAAATTTCTCTGTGAACAGAAAATGTATTCAGTGAAGAGATATTCTCTAAGGCTTTGGCTAATAAAACATCTAAATGCATTCTTGCTTTTGGGAACCAATCCCAAGGAATTTATATGCTTTGATGCTTTCCAGTGGTAATCTGTGCTGTCAAAGTGACAATATTAATCCAGTGAATAGATGTGCCTATTGACTGACAAAAAGAGGTTCAGAAATTGCAATTGCCATTTGATTTACAGGCTATGTTATTTTTTTAATTATTCTTTTACATCTGGAATTCTTGAGACTATAATGTCTCATGTTCCAAATGAAAGTGAAGTATCATGACACTGAAAGGAGGTGCATGTCCTTCTTAACACCTTGTGCCCAGGGAATTAAAATGTTTGTGCTTCAGTAGTGATTTTTAAGTGCTAGTTCAAATAAACTTGTCATCTGTAAAGTGCACAGGCAGCGAGGCACGATTCATGACAAATTTCAGGAGGGAAAGTGTTGCAAATGTGCTGAGGCCTCTTTAACTCCTGAAACAGCAGCAGCACTCTCTGGGTCATCTGTGGTGGTAGTGCTGGCACTCCTCTGGGGCCACTCTGTCTGTGGGTGGTTCTGCCTAGACATTTTTACCCTCTCTGTGGCTCTGGCTACTTCATTTGAAAACTAGAAGCCGCAAGACATGATGATAAATCTTATGTATTTGCCCTCCAGTCCTCAGCTCACCTGTGGCACCACTATGAGCACAGGGAAGCTTACCAGAAGCTGCTGGAGGACATCGCTGTCCTGCGGCGTTTGGCTGCCAGGCTGTCAAGTCGCGCCGAGATGGTCGGAGCCGTTCGCCAGGTAGGAACATCCTCATTTAATGTGTATCTTGCCTACACTTGTTCCCTCTCTCTTTCAACCATAGCTAGAGGTTACACTCGCCCTTTGAGTTTTATTTGCCCTTTTGACAGATTAAAGACTTTTATTGCAGTGTCACATAAGACACCATTTCAGTCTGGAAATAAGATTTGAACAGAAAAAGGTTACCCATTAAGCTATTCAACATCTGTGCAATAGGAACATTATTCTGAATGCATTATTCAGAACTACAGCTCCATCACACGAAACTTATCTCAAATCAGTGCAGCACCAGTAAAGAAACTTTTCTGGGTCAAAAAGCTCATCTAGTTCAGTCACCTGCCTTTGGCAGTGGCTCAGTCAGGCAACTATAAAGAGTATAAGAACAGAGCGAGTATAAATGAGAACACAGCAATATCCTCCCAGGTTCAAGACTGTTCCCTTTTAAGCAACCAGACTGATGCCAGTGACTAAGACCCTTGAGGGTGTGAAAACCAATGTGGTATGCCACATAACTAATCAGATGGGCACACAGGAAGGCTGTATAAATACATGTCAACATAAATTATGATATTCTGTGAAATATGTATGAATGCATGTGCATTCGTCTTTTAACTAGCTTAGGAATTTTCAGTTGTTGAGATACCAATATTTCTTAAAGAACAGCTATTCCAGATTTAGCCCTGACAGGGAGCATAGATATAAAGGCAAATGATTTGTTGGAGGCATGTAGAGTTTAACTGGGTATTTCTTTCTTTTCTTCCTTAGGAGAAACGCATGTCAAAGGCAACAGAAGTAATGATGCAGTATGTGGAAAATCTGAAAAGAACATATGAAAAGGATCATGCTGAACTAATGGAGTTCAAGAAACTTGCCAATCAGAATTCTAGCAGAAGCTATGGTGCATCTGGTAAAAAAAAAATAAAAATTTAAGGGTTTGTCTTGCCTCTATACAGGGAGATGTTGGTGCTCTTAATGATTAAAAGTGAAGTACCATAAAACCTATTCGTGAAGTTCTGATGTACAGGTGTAGATTTAAAAAAGTTGTAGAAATAAGTTCAAATGTTTCATATGAACCATACTCGATGCTATAGTACAGTAATTTGAAATCACTTTCACTTACCAAATTCTGATGAGATTCAATGACATTTTCATTGGCCTCTTTCACGTGCACATAGCCTGTGCAATTTTAATGCAGATACCTTTTAGGTGATGGATAATGGCAAAATTTCATTATTCAAAACTTTTTTTTTTTTTTTGCAACCTTGTCTTTCCTGTACTGGAAACTGAAATATGAGTATTTTATTTTGCAAGTATCTGTATGTGGAGGTAGATAGTGGCCTTTTGCCTGATCTCAGTAAAGATACTAATGGTTTGATTTTTGCAATTATTTCAAATTTCTTCTGCAGGTGAAGCTGAGATCAGAACTGCATGACAGATAAATATGTGGTCACTAAAGACCTTGTATAAATACACTGTATCTGAGTTTGAAATACAAGCAAGGGCTCTATTAGTATTTATAGATACTCATATAGTCTAAGGCTGGTTTTTATCTTTTTTCTGTGTAGAAGATGGAGTGCCTCGTTCATCTAGATCCATGTCTCTTACTGTTGGAAAGGTAATTCTACAATATTTTAAAAAATGAACATTTAGTGTAGTGAAATGTCTTTGTCTACCAGTGCTCCAGAGAATGGCTTAGGTCCTGTGCTTTGTTCTAGTTCCTCAGTGAGGAAACTGAACATGGGATCAAAACCTACCATATGGTTCAGGATTCCATGACCACAACATTTTCATTATCTTAAGAATTTCGTCATGGTCAGAGCACCTTAGGTGGGAGCAGTTATTTTTTAAGTGGGGCTCATTTTTCGGTTAGCATCAAAGTATCTTGTTTGATTTGACAAAGTATTCAGTGAGAGACCGTCTCAGATTGTTTTTGCTTGACCCATTAGTAGCTTCAACACGTCCAGTGTTTCATTTCTGCAAAAATTCCAAGTGTTGGAGATAAAGCTTATTACAAAACTTGCTAAAACAACCAGTGATTTGAGAGATATGAGTCCCAGTGTGGCCATTGGTGGTCAGAGGCATTATACTCAGTCTACTGTTTATTTTCATATTTTTATTTGTTTAGGTTGTAGTTCCTTAGATTTAGTTTATTCCTGCCACCTCTGAGTGTTGGGTATAAAGAATTAGAGCACAGAGCCTGCTAAGGGCAACACTGGATTTCAGAATGAGAACCAGATAAGTTGAAACAAAGGTCCCAAAAAAAGATTAAATTTAGGAAGGACAAGTCCAAGTAATAAAGAGGGGGGAGAAAGCCCCAAAACACTAAAATGGTCTGCCTAAGATGGCTGAAGACTCCCCTGTGTAGTTTTGCAGCAGTAAATTAAATAAAATTGTCATTAATGAATAGGTACAGTTGGTTTAGTCTAGAACCAGGATCACGGAGCAGGTGACTCCTCCTATGTATTTACTAAATCTGTGTTTAACTCTTTTCCTGTAAAGTTGTCTAGACCAGAATTGTTTGGATTTGCACTGAAACAAAGCTGTTAGATGCTGTAAGTGTTTTGATGTTTTTACTCAGTTGGAAGCACAGATTTTACATAGATTTTATAGGTTGAAACCTTTAGCTACTTACCAAATGACAGCAAAAACTTAAGTGATCTGTACTTGAGCTCAAATATATTGTGTACAGCTTGCAGGTGTTTGTCATATAAAGAATACTCATGATCCTTGGGAAATGTAAGCAATGTCACATGGTGGTATCTAACAACTCAAGGGTGGGAGAGAAGGGGATGTTCACAGGATGTTCCTGTGGAAGGAATGGGTGTTGTTGGTTCTGTAAGTTATAATTGGTAGGTTTAGATGTAATCAGTATATCATAGTGGGTACGGGATATCAGAATGGGTACATGGCATTTTCCCCAATATCGTTATACATCTGATTTATTCAAAGATAATAGCATATAATAAGAGCTGACAATATCAGCTCAGACCACATCTGTTGTGTGACTTACTCTACTGGGCTTTCAGTATGGAGGGAAAAGAGCAGCATCCCTGTACCACACTCATTTCACACTAAGCACTTGCCACAGCAGATCATACTAGAGAAATTTCTAGGGAAAACCGCAGCCTAGCATCCATTTATCTTAATTATCTCCTTTTCCCCAAGAGACATTAAGCTACATCTTTTCCACACCTGTTAACCTACAGAAGTGTTCTTCAGTCTGTCTTGCTGTGTGATAGAAAAAACCATAAATTGTTGTTCCTCACAGAATATGCCTCGGAGGAGAGTCAGTGTTGCGGTTGTTCCTAAGTTTAACTCCTTGAACATTCCTGGTCAGTCACCAACAGCTTCACCTATACCTTCAATGCCATCCCTGGTAAGTAAACCCCATATTTTAAAGGTACTATTTTTTGTCTAAACTACTTTTACGTACGACCAAGCCACAGTTACTAAAAAATGGAAGCCCTTTCATTGGTTTGACTTGTTTTGACTCCATCCTAGTGAAGGGTGTGGACAGAGGCAATTCCTATTTGGAAGGGACACGTGCCTTCAGAATCTACCTCCTTAAATGATCACTTTAGAAACTGCTGAATAGGGAGGGCTGGTGATTCAGAGGCATTGCACATTAGTGAGGCAATTTGCCTTTTCGACTGTAGTAACATACAGGAAAGAAGTTGTGAAAATAGGTGTCCAGTGTAGGAGAGGAGTTTTAACTAGAAACCACAGAACACTAAACAGAAACACGTAATCAATGTACAGAAATGTATGTGGTACATATTTAGAAGTTCTGTGATGATCTGGGATTAGTGAAGTCATCAGCCTCTGTGTTGGCTGTTTGTTTAGAAAACTTAATTAAAACAAATGATAATCTAATCTGAACAGAATGAATCCATATAAATGCTTTGGAGGAAAACTACAAGGCATACTAACTGTTCAGAGATGAGCTATGATGGGACATAACCTGAAAGTTATGCAGTTAAAAATGTAGGTTTATTTATGTGAGGGGGTTTGCTGAGAAGCTAAATCCATTTTAGTTTTAAGAAAAGCATCTGTTTGTGCAATTTAGTTATTATGTCCTCAGAGTCAATTGTTTCAGGAACTGTGTTTGTTTGCCATGGTTTATTATGATTTGGTTTTGTTTAAGATTTCCGTTAGAAAACTCAGCTGTTAATATTCTTCAGATAATCGGAGAGATGAAATAAAGTAATTATACTATTCAGTGATCAATGTATTTCAGAGAAAATTCTTAGTGTGCAAGTCCCCCGTTTACTGTAGTAAATTTGGAAGCTCCATGTTAAAGATACTTTCCTCTTGAGCGTGGGAAGAAAACCTAAGCAGCACATTGACTTTGCCATTTTATTGAACACTCATTTGAAATTTATTAATGGATATAACATTTGTTGCTGTGTTTTACTTACAGTCTGAATCACCTAGTAATGGAAGGAGCAGCCTAACGTCTAGTCCTGCTCTGCCAGCACTTCTAGAAAAGTGAGTTGTCTAGGTCATCTTCTTACCTATTAAATCCTAGCATGAAATGATAATTGGATCATTTCTATCATTCCTAAACCAAGGCATGAGGTATTGAAATCAGTGACACAACGTCAGCTTAGGTTGATTTGTGATCTGGTAACTGTATTTTACAATGTCACCATCATATTTTTCTTTTCATGGTCAAGGAGTTTACAAGCAGCATCTCAGAACTAAACTGAGCCTGCTGTGATCATTAGAACTCATCAAGTAAAAAATGCATCAGATTATACACCTTCAAAGCTTGAGAAAACTAAGAGTATTACATACAGTACACATGAATTTTTTTTCAATGTATTTCCTTGAAGAAATTAATGCTGCATCTAAAGTTGGCCATGAACAACCCAGGATATGAATATTCCTTAATTTGACAATCCCAGTAATAGAAGTTTGTGTTCTACCCTTGCCTTTTCAACAGGTGGCTGGCTGGGAAGAATCATATTTTGGAATACTATGCTATTCAGTGTCATGTAGGTTTTGAAATTTATATGAGTAAACATAAGTATATGAAACTCATAAGTATAATTTATCATAATATTAGATAATCAAAATTTTGAAGTCAAAACCATTATTAAATTAAGTAGTAATTTTTTTTAGTGTGCAATGAATTAAACATTCTGATAAATTAAAGCATTAGGTCAGAGATTTTAGTTTTTGCAATCTGAAGTTTTAGTATAGCAGCCAGGGAAGTTTGCATTTTAAAATTAGAAAATAAAGCTATGAAAGAGGACTTTTTTTTTTTAACCTGGTGACAAGCAAATACTTCAACATCTCTATTTTTCTAGTACCTGTAAATTGCAAAAATATTTTTCATTAAAACATTTTCCCTTTTGACTCTATATTACTTTACATTAGTGCAGGTGCCCTGGCTGGATTAAGGTGTGTTGCTGTTTTCCATTTGACTTAATAGTTCTTCATTCCATGGGTTTAAACAGTATTATTTTTGGTGCAAAATAATGGTTCTATGAATAAGAAAAGTGACGAATAGCTCTGCTGGGAAGCATGTGCATCTTCCCATTTGTGGAAAGAACTTTGAAATTCTTCCAATTGAAGTCCACATAGACAAGTAATTTAGCTTTATACAAGCCATTGGAATGTAAAGCCCTTGCAGTAACAGGATGGAAAGGTGGGTGACATGGAAACTCGTGAGGCTGGGATGAGAACAGAAGGCACAGTGTTCCACAAGGTCTCTGGAAATAATTACCATTATGAACACTGGCACTGCTGCATTTGCACACTCGTGTGCATATACTTCATTTGTGAGTATAATTAGCCCAGAAAGCAAAAATAAAAAGTTATCAAGTCCTTTTCCAAGGAAAAAGTTGCACATTTTTAAGGAAGTTGCTTGCTGATGTTTCGGAAATAGACTTACTAAAACATCACATTGATTTTTGTTGGGATTGTTACTACTACTACTTTGGACATTCAAACTGTTTATGGCATCACAATAAAATGTCTGAAATACTAATTTAAATTAAATTTTTAGGATGCTTTCAACATGCAAATCAAAACCTTTGAAATGTGTAGATCTCACAGCAGTACAGCATGTTAAATTTCATGTTCTTCAGATTAGTGCTGGGCAGGACAAAATTTATCTTATGTCTCTGAGCTTTACTAAGAATGTAAACATGCAACAATTGGGAAAACAAAAACAGTGAACTACAGCACTAGTTGTTACAATTCAAAAGAACTCTGCAAGATCTTTGAGACCATACAGAAATTCTGGGAGAAAAAGCAACAACCAAAAAAGCTTATCAGTATTTCACACTGGATCTTAAGAAAACAAAACATGTTGTCAAGTAACAGAGGTAGAACTTAAAATTCAAGTTTGAGCATAAGTATGTGTTCATGGGCCAGCTGCTATAGTACAGTAAAATTACATAGTCCAACATAGTTTTGTATTTTTAAGCACTTCAGGCTTATAATCATTATTTGTTTAAAGTCCAAGTGAAAATAATGTCTCCTGTTAACATGACTTCTTTCTTAAGAGAAAATCCATCACCCACAGATGGTGTCAATTTTAGTGCCCAAAAAATAAGGCCTACAAAAAAGGTTGGATTCTAGAAGTTGAAATGGGTTCCACTGTTGAGTTTATTAAACCTGGACTTTCATAGATTTGCTGTTACGTCTCAATTACTTAAACTCCTTGTCCCAGATCAAATAAATAAGGATAGGAGAACACTGCAGGAAGAGAGCAATACAAAATGGCTTAACTTAAGGCTAAATGCTCAAAGCTTTTACTTAAGAAAAGTTTTAGTGACTAAAGAAATGTGTGTGTTTGTGGGTTTTTTTCACCTGTGCATCAGTTCAGCATATAAAGTCAGCAGAGGAGAGTACCTAAAAGGCAAATAAAACCAATGTTTTGTTAAATTGGTATTTGATATTATTTCTATTATTTTCCCCTTATTTAGCTGGTTACAATATCTAAGATGATTTTTAGAAAATTGATGGAAATGTTTTCAAGAATAGCAAATAAATCCCATGGATGAGCCAGGAAACAAAAGGAATTTTTTTTTCATTTTTTTAAACAAGTAGTAAAATGCAAGTCATATTACCTTAGAAACATAGTAATTACTGTTCTTAAATTACAACATTTTGAAACTAATGTTTTTCTTGATGTTTAGTTTTTCTTTTGAAAGACATTTCATTTCTCTGATGTACATTAAAAAAGACAAACCACAAGTCACAAAACTGTAGTGTGCTCCAAATACAGCACATTTCAGTGACATTTTTTTCTATTTGTCTTTTCTTTTTGTCTTGGCAGTGGAAAGTCTAATGGAGAGCCTGACTGTGAAACCTCTACTTCTGTGCTGTCACAGAGTGGGTTGGAGGAGATCAGTCCTGAAACTAAAGCCAAGATAGAAGAGGAAGCATATAACAAAGGGTGGGAATATTTTATGTCAACTGAATCTGTAAATATGTGCTACCAGATTACTGCATATGTTTTTAAAATTTATTTTTAAATGCAATTTTAAATGAGTGACAAAATTGAAAGGTGCTCCTAGAAGATAGTAGTAATTGGAACAATGTGGAAAACAACACGAGTGAGCTTCACTCATCGCATTTGCATGGTACCTGTTGATTTTCATCCTTTATTAATGAAAGGCAAACTGTGGGAGAGCAGTTATTTCAGAGATTCTGAATTGGGTGGGTGTTCTTATGTCAATAGTGCTCAGCTTCATGACAGGATAATCCAAAAACAGCCTTATGAAATGTTTATTCTGAAAAGGCTACACGGAAACGAGTAAAGAGTAAGTATCAACCATTGCAGTAGTCATGTTGTTTGTGTCACAAAGCGCTTTACACAATGTGTTTTGGGGCAATTAACAACTTTGGGATCTGTTTCTGAATTGCCAAGCAAAGAACTCTGTACTAGGATTTAGAGTGAGACAAAAATTTTGATCTCCTCCTGCAGAATCCAGCATGCCATCTATCTTCAGCATTGATTCATTCTCCAGGAGAAAAGAAATACCTGGAAGGTGTTCAAAATTATTGAAAAATAATAGAGAAATATTTACCAACTCCTTTACAATAGAAAAAATTTTTCTCTGTTGAGGACTATAACCTCTTTTTGTTGTTCAAGATCATAAATTTTGTATCAGCCCTTATATAATCCTCTGTTAAGGCTGTCTGTGTACTGTACTCACAGTCTTCAGCTAATTTTTACTCGTCTAAGTGCTGCAACACTGCTACTTCTGTTTTATTGAATGTATCAAAGCATAAAGTTAATTTTTCATTAAATAAAATCAGGCTTATACAGCATGCTAGACTAAGAAATAAATGTTTTGTGTGTTGCAGCTATCAGGAAGGCTTGAAGAAAACCAAAGAACTTCAAGAACTGAAGGAAGAAGATGAAGAGACACCCAAAGAAAGTCATGATGAACATGAAGAAAGTGAAAATGAAGATGAGATTAAAAACCTGAAAAGCAGGTGAGAGAGTGGGGTAATATGTCTATACAAGAGGGGCCACTCTGTTCTATTTGTGGTACCCAACCAAGTGTTTTATACTATCACCTTGACATGTTTTCCCACAGTCTAGAGAAGCATATTTCAAATAACAGTATTTTCACAGAAAGGCACTTTCCAAGACAATGTAGTTACAAAATGCAAGTTTTTATTTTGCTGTTTCAGCTAAAATTGTATGTTGACATCAAGATGCTTCATCTTAATGGGGTTTGGTTCTGATTTGAGGTAAAAAAAGATTCCAGAAAAGTTCTTTAGATGCCAGAAGGTATCTCTCTGTAGACATGCATTGTCTCATGGAGGTTGTAATTCAGGAATCTGATGCCCAAATTTGTGCTGTATGTCATTCCCAAAGGGTCATGAGTAAGACAAGCTCCTCAGCTATGCTGGGCTTGCTCTGACCTGGACAGGCAGGTGCTGGCTGCCTCTGGGAGCTGAGTGGGTGCAGCACGACAGCACCCGGCTGGAGTTCCTGCCTGTCACTGGAGTGACACGCTCATTGCACCCTCCTGTACCCAGTGCTCTCTGTCTGTACTGGGGACTTCTGAATCACCTGCTCCATGTCTTCCCTGAAGCATTTGGTGTCTAACTGGAAAACACGGCTGAAATGTTCAATTTTTCTTACAGTTCATTATTGAGTCCCCTCAGTGGCTCTGTCACCCAATTCCATTCACCTGCTGCTTCCTGCGTTCGAAAAGCCATGAGTCTCTTGAGTTAGAGGCAAATGGAATGCTGGCCAAAGGAAGTAGTATGTCCAATGCCAAGCTAAGGCAGGGAACCTTACTTGATCTGGAAGAATCCATTTCCACTCCATAAGCATTGTGGTTATAAACATCTGTAGATTTGAGGCTTCAGCCATGTTCAGAGGGCAGCCGTCTCGCTAGTCATGACACTCTCAGAAAGAAATGTTTATGACATGTTCTAATGTTTAGTTTAGTGGATCAAGATATGAACAGTGCAGGATTTTGCATCGTATCAAGCTCTGAGACAGGTGGGAGAAATAGAAGTCAAATTAACAGTCTTGCAAATATTACTCATATCATAGAATAGTTTGAGTTGGAATATCTGAGTGTACAGCTCTCCTTAGAAGAACTTTGCAGTCTGTTTCTTCTTTGACAAGGTGTTTGTATTGGGAAAAAAGATGGTGCACCATATATCTATGAAACCTCTCAAACTGCAAAGCTTAAGATAATAAATTTGCATATATAACAGTTTTCTTTTGATTTTACAGCAGACTTGAAGTCATCATTAATTATTTATATATACTGTACCCCAAACTGTGCAAACACTGGAACGTGGTATGGCTTGTAGTGGCTGCAATCGTCATTTTTGCTGTGGTGTTGGGAATCTACCATTCCTACAACTCCTGCGATGAGAAGTCCGAGGGAGCTGAAGGGAAGGCCAGCTGCTCTGCTGCCCACCAGTATTCCTGGTGGAACTCAGGATTTCGACATGAGCAACGCGCTGAATAATAAAGGAACAACCACGTATTTCTGGTACCTGAGCAAGTTTGCATCTTAGACCACTGTTGTTAAAGGTAGTGCTTAGTCACCCCTACGGCTGTCACACGTGAGCTGTCAGACAAGCGAGTTGCTCCACACCCCCAGGTCTGGGGATGCAGGGTGAACACATCTTGCCAAGATGAAAATCTGATGAATAATCCTGTCTGTCCTCTTGTTGTAACTGACTGATACAAATAAAATAATGTGGAATCATGACAAGGTTGTGGCAGTAATGAGCAACCAGCAAGACGTTTAAAAGAATGATTTGCACAGGACACTGATGTTTTGAAGAAAATCATAAAACCTGCATTTGCAGTTAGTACTTTACTTGGCATTTCCTGAATTTTTCGTTGATCGTTGAAGTACTAATTGCATTTAAGTCCTTTGGGGTTTAAGAGTCTAATTAATTTCCTTATTCATGAATATTGGGTAGACATAGAAGTTCTTCTATGGAAGAATCTAATTATATTATTAGACCAAATGCCTTGCTGAAAGAGTAATTTTAAGAGGAATTATCTGTATGATTATTTAAATGGAATGTTAAGTACATGCATAAATGTGTTTTATGATATACTTTAAGAATGGGACCACCACTTTTTTTAAAATGGAATACTCAACAGAACCTAAAATGGGGTCTACGTGACATCATTAAATAAATCCAGGAACTTCTGGTATATCAAAGGGACATACTTTGCAGAAATTTCTGTATGACACTCAGAGTCAGGACTGGTTACAGCAAAAAGTAGTTGCTGTCTGGAAGGTTAGATGAGCTGCCCAAGCCCAAAATACAGGAGTCTTGGACATGGGAATTCTTTATTAAAAAAGAAACAAAGAAAACAAAAACTCTTCAAACCTCTGTATACAGGTGATCACACTTAGTGGACTCTGCCCTACTACTAATACTGGTGATAGATATTCTTTGAGATCTGCAACAGGAACAGTTCTGCAACAGCCAGAACCCAACCAGTGCCAACGTGAATCAGGACAGGGAAGCAGTGAGGACTTAAGAAAGCTCACTGTGTGTTTTTAGTAGTTCATTTTCAGAACCTGATGCCAGGTATCCAAATGATCTGATACACTTCCAAAGCTGAACTGCCAGGTCATGAGAGATTCATCTCTTGCAGTTCTGCCAATCTGGGAGTCGCGAGTTCTTACACAAGAATGTGAAAGCCTGAAATTCTTGGATAAGCAATTCCAAAATGGTGAAGCCATTATCTGTAAAAACCCCACCACCTAGGGCTGAGACCAGAATGTCTGTCACTGAGGGTGTACCTTATGTACCTGCTGAACGTCACTGCTGACTGAAGGTGAACTGTGTCTTTCCTTAGCTAGACCCACAATATCAAAATCAGTGTGACACTTGATTGCACTCGTATCTTGCATTCTTCCGGCATTTTCTGACTGAGAAGCAGGTCTGTTCACCAACTGAAGGATAAGTGTGTTATGAAGTACTGTAATTTCAGTTCAGACACAGATAATATTGTCCTGTTTTCTTTTGGTGTAAACACTGAACCTCAAGCTAACTATCAAAGAAAACAGGTTCCTAACTCAGTCAGCAATTTCATTCACGTCTGGCACTAGTAACGAATATCCTGCTAGTGCATTTTTGTTTGTTACATCTTTAGCCACGTGTTTCTTAGGAGACATTTTTAGAAAAGAGAAAGAAATGAAAAATTAAAAAAGCAGACCATAACCACTTTTTTTTAGGGGCGGTGGGGAATGAGGAAATCTATAAGCAGTTGGCAGGGGGGTTTTGTATTTTAAAGTCTATATTATTGAGGAATAGTGTGCCTAAGGAAGTTCAAAAAGGATAATGGGAAAGTGTCATTTGGTCTAAAATTGTAATTGGTAAAGAATAAGACAGAAGAAGGTTTCTTGCAAATTACTTGGAATCTGTTTGGTTCAGTTAGAATATCTGACTGTGAAGAACTACTGTGATATTTCATGTACTTTCAGTATTTGAAGAAACTTGTCAGTTGTTCTTTGAATACTTCTTTATTAAAATCAGCTTCTTTAACTTAATATTCTTTACAAATAACATGCTTAATAAGGCATTAAAAATTGAAGGTAAATAGTTCTGAATATTCAGAATTCTCTATGCCAGAAATTATGGAGCGTATTTGATTATGTGATTGTGGACATGGTGGGCTGCACTGAAGAAAAATAATTATCAGTGCCTGTAATTGAATTAATTCACTTTTATTTGCATCTGCACTGATGTGGGCCCAAAAGCTTGTTTTAAGTACACATAGAAACTTATTGATATCAACAGGACTCTCAAACTGCTTAATGTTAAGCATGTTCTAAAGCTTTTTTGGTCAGTGGGTGAACAAGGTCTCCATCCTCCCTTGAAATTCAGCACACTGGCTTTTTGTGGAATTAGTGCACCAGGGCCAATTCCCATAAGTACTTGTACTGATTTGAACTGAACTACTTGCATGTCTAAGGCAAGTGTAATTTTGCCACAAAGTTTTTACTTGTTTTGAGGAATCTACTGAAGGAGGCAAGAGATTTTAATGGGGGTGCAAAAATGAAGATAAAGTTTATTTTTAAAAAAATTCTTCTTTTTATAACTACTTTGAGCAAACTGTCCACTAAAAATAACAAACCACAACGACTAACAGCACAGTAAATAGTTTTGCTTATATTTTTCAGTTAGTTAATGAAAACACCTTTTTTAATAAGAATCTAGATTAAGCTCAAAAGCTATCCTAAATGTCATTTTATTTGTTGGATATTAGTTTGCTTTATCTGGAAAAAAAAAAACCAACAACCTCTTCTGTGTTCAAAGATCACATCAGATAACAAGAAACAGAGCTATTATTTATGCTATTAACACTGAAATAGTTTTCTTGAGGTGCAATATTTATTTTTCTGCTTTAACAAGACACATTTATTGTTTTTCCTGCACAGCACAAATGTTTCTAGTAAAAGGAATTTCAAAAGGGCACTATTTTTGTGTATCATATTTAAATTTGTAATATTGTAAGATTTTGCACAAGTGTGCTGGTATTGTACTGTATAGTATCACATACTTGAGTTTTGAAATAAAAGTATGGTTTCAAGTCCTCAATGTTGTTACCTTAAGGATTTGGGTTTTGCCTGTGCTCTGTCTGCACATTGATGGCTGTGTTCTCATGAAATACATCCTACCTTGTCCACCCTGCAGCGTGTTACATGTATCAAGGATCTTGTTCTTAGTTTTCCAGTTTTTCAGGAAAATTATGCAGAAGAAGCAAGCAAACTCCTGTGTCAATAGAGAGAATGTTTGTAAGCAGGGTCGTCCCTGTCACACCATAGCAACAAGATGAGAGAGGAAGCTGAGATATCCTGGAGAGAGCTTAACACCTGCTTCAGAGGGAGCCCGTGTGTCACTGAGGAGGCCAAACATGGAGAGCCACAAGGGAAATCTGTAAGCAAAGGATTCTGAGCGAAAGGTTAGGATTCTTTATTTGCTTTGTGTCCTCGTAGACTTGGGAAGTTGGGGAAGCCTGGGCTTTGTGGAGAGCTGTCCAGCGGGTAAGAGACAGTGCTCAGCTTCTGAATCTCTGATAGTCAGTGACAGGGAGAAAAACTCTGGGACAGCGACAGCCTTGAAAGGAATTACTGTAACCATGGAAAGACCCCGACATTTGTATTTTCTGCATAAACGTGTTTCCTCTCCTGCTGTTCAGGTTTCAAGGGTCCTTTAGAAATGATTGTAGAGAACAGTTACTTCTGTCCTCCCATATGAAAAGTTTTCTGTTTAGCAACCCTCATCAGCATTTTAAAACATGCTGGCATGAGAGGCCGGGAATTTTTCTTATAAGTTACTACAAGTATTTAGGTCAAACACTAATTAATCATTCTGTATAAGTCTGCGCTTTTTTTCACCACACTAATTATGATGAAGACACAGAAAAAGGTTAAAGACCTTTTGTACTGTTACAGTCCAGATAAGTGATCTTCCACACAGTTTTAGAACAGCTGAAATACAAAAAGGAAGAAACCGACAAAAAAATAGTTATTTCCGTCTCACTTCATCACTCTAAAATTCTTTTCTCCCTCTTCTAATCTGTGTTTTGCTCTTACAAGACCGTGTGAAGCAGCTTATATTTTTGTTTGGTTTTGCAAAGGTGTTTATCTCATTTTTTCAGCTAAAAGTCCTACTAAAGATCAAGAGCATAGACTGAGTTTGACTAAAGGAACTTTGCCACATTGAGAATAGTAGACACAAAGTGTTAAAACTCAGCAGGACAATTAGCACGCAATTTTAAAATGTCAGAAACCCAGCTCTTGATTAGTTTTCATGGCAGGAAGTACTTTGCAGTTCAAGTTAAGCATGGAGATGGTAAGATTTTGTTTAATGTTCTCAGTGTTTTACAGCCAGTCTACTTTTCTCCTCCCACATTGCAAATGCAAGTGAATCCACTTACAACCTGCTTCAAGTGAGAGTTAAGTCTGATTACAGCATCTCACATTGCCATCACTTTGTAGAGGCAGGTTAGTACAGAACAATAAAGGAGGGAAGAGAAACTGGAGGAAGAAATTTGTCTGAAGATCTCAAGGAGCTTTACTAACATTCAGTTCCAAACCGCGGCCCAAGCACAACCCAATTTTCATTTCTTCATTGCTGATGGAGACATTATTTCACTAACCCACAGCATCCTCCCATTCTCCTTAGGCTCTGTAGATGCCTGTCTGTGTTACAGAATACCAAATCATATCGTAATCATGTTATATGCTGCTCTAGGAGATTGGGCCTGTGCCCAGTTAAAAGCTAATATTGCCTTAATATATTAAGTAGGAACTTTCTACAGTACAAACCACAGCTTAAAGAGGTAGCTACTGTTACATTTGTGTTTACAGGACTCTGAAAACAGTTCGAGGACATAGGGCATCTAAAAGTTTTCTGAATCACAAATTGAACATGATGTGACAAAACCACCTTGTTGCAAAAAAAAGAAAAATGTCTCACACCATTCTGAACTCTGTAAGCAGGTAAACCAATTTATTAATCAGTGCTTGGCATTGGTAAGGCCTCACTTGGAGAAAAAGAGCGAGCCAGCAGGGGTTTCTTAGCTGAAAGAAAAGTGGGAGCAGAGGCATAACTCTTTAAATACATAAGATAGTTGCAAAACATAAGGGAATAAACTATTTTCCACGTTCATTGCCAGCAGGAAAAGAAGCGATAGGTTTACATTAGGGTACAACGAAGTCAGTTTAGAGTAGGGAAT